TCCCTCCCATGTCCTTGGGTCTGAACACTGCATCCTTCAGCTGCAATGAGCCTTTCTGGGACACTTTCTCCTTCGGTGGCCTTTTTACCCTAACACTCAGTTGTCATCAACTCCTTTCCTTACACTTTTTTTTGAGGTGCGAGGAATCGAACTCAGGACCTTACATATGCCAGTCAGGTGCTTCTTCCACTGAGCTGTCTCTGCAGCCCTCCTTACACATTTAGACATTTATTGATTCACCATTTTTCACAGCTGTAGCTTTTGTCTCTTCTGGGTCTTCTCCTCCTTGAACAAAGCCTCAAGGTGGTTTCTCCCTGCATCTTTCAATCCCATTCCACTTCACCCGAATTTCACTTCCTGCCAAAGGTCGCCATTATACAGCTCCCATCCTTTCTTTCTTTCTGCTCTCCCAGTTCAATTAATGGCATTTACTTGTTCTGGTTCTTGCTGATATAAGGCAAAACAATATTGCTAAATTCACTTGCAACTTCCAATAATTAGTCTATAGTAGATTTTCTATGTATGTGATACCTGCAGAGATGCAAAGTTTGGTTTGTTCATTGCCAGCCATTCTTCCCTTCCCTTTTCTTGCTTGGTCAACAAAGCTTCCTACACTCAACCTGATGCAGAGCAGACCTGAGCATAGCAAGCATCCTTACCTCATTCCCAGCCACAGAGGAAAGTTTCCTCCATCACCACTAATTGGACTAAGTTTCTTTTTAATCTTTTTTTATTATTATTTGGTACAGGGTCTCTCTATGCAGGTCAGACTCATAGTGATCCTCCTGTCTCAGCCTCCCCAGCACTGGGATTACAGGCATGTACCACCACACCCAGTTTTAGTGGCTGGTTCAGCATGTGGTGCCAGGGATTGAACCCAGGTCCTTGTGCTTGCCAGGCAGGCACTTAGACCGCCAAGCTATCCCCCTGGCCTGGACTAAGATTTTTAAAGATATCCCCTTTATTACTACTTTTCTAAGAATTTATACTGTGAACACCAAGTTTTGGCAAATCCTTTTTCTGTATCAGAAATTATATGATTTTTCTCCTTTATTACAATGCCTACATTGTCAAATTTGTTGACAACTATCATTCACTATCATTTAAATGTTTATGTACTGTACTAAAGCCCACAATAAAAGGACATTTGAAAATCTGCTTTTCCTGATCAGTCTAGCATTTCTGATTTTTACTAATTTTTTCAAAGAACTAGCTGTGATTTTCTCTATTGATTGACCTCTCAGAGTCATGAAAATTAGCCTGATGAAACGAAAGTGTAAGATGTGCTAAACCTAAACAGGGCTTATGCCGTTTGGGCACTTAGGAGAAGTTAACAAAACTCAGTGTATAAAGTACTGATCCCAAGCAATCAAGCAGCTGTTGACATAGGCAGAATTTATATCATTAAACAGTGACATCAGTGACTTGCAAGGTATGCTAAAGATACATGAAATAAGTAGAATAAATGATAGAACAAACAAGATTATTACAAGCAAAGGGACAGGAAGACCAACGCCTAAAGTATCCTACCACTTCAGCTACATTATACCTAAATTGGCCACCAGTGGGTGACACACGTCATTGCTCCACTAAACACATAACAAACCCATCACTATTGAGACGAATTGGTGGGATGCAGCTGAGGGCAGTGGGGCCACTATGGCTCTGAGTATCCTGCAGTCTGTATGGTGCTCTTGCTCAAAACTTAACTTTGGTCTTTATATGGGATCAGTGCAATAGATGGAGAAAGAGGCAGGGTCTGACCACCCAACATGCAGTCAGGACACACCATTCTTCTCCTGTCCTAAGTGTGCTAACTTACACTTTTTTCCTTGCTTTAAAAAATTGTTTTTAGGGGCTGGGGAGATGGCTCAGTAGAGTAAGCGCTTCCCTGGCAAGCACAAGTGTCTGAGTTCAATCCCCGGTTCCGAAAAAATAAAAATAAAAAATTGTTTTTACTGGAGGGTTGACAACCTAAGTTTGCAGACCAAAATTAGAGAAAAGGGCGGGCTGCAGGGAAAGCCAGCATTTTGGTCCTAGCCTTCCAAGGTCAATTAAGACTCAGGACATATGAGAACTTATGCTGTAACATCATGTAACTCAGTAATGTCCCAGGTTTTCTGATCAGGGAGATTGTGGGGCCAAAGAGGAGGGTGATCAATGATGTGGAGTGTGCCTGGGAAGAGTCACATGGAGAGAAGGCATTCTCTCAGGCTTTTATAGAGAGCACACTGGCCAGGCAATGGCCGTGACTCGTCCACAGGGTGACACTGACAAAGGATCTACAATCTGAGGTACAGGATCTCAGGATAAATCCTGGGGGGATTTGACTGACCTTATCAGATCCAAAAGCTACAACTCTTGTTGCATGGGTCTTGCTTTGTCTTGGTCTTAGCCATCCAGCAGAACAGTATAGGGGCTAGGTGTAAGAAGTAAAGCCATCGTGTTATGTTGAGCTGTGGAGGACTTAGGTCAATGATTTCTAACATTGCCAGTCAAGCGGAAGACCCAATACTGTTGTGGACTACTGGACTCTTGGAGTGTTTTGCTGAGTTAACACACCTGTAATATTCAAATGACAGAGCTCTACAAAAGGGGGGATACAGATGAATGCCCATTTTGTATCTGTGTGTTCAGGGTGGTTGGAATAGATATATAGTTACATTCTCTTAATGAATAGAGGGATTTGTTCTAGTGGTGTTTGTAAATAGGATGTCATGTCTGCATCTTGTGCAGCAACTAACCACTAGGAAGAGAGTATGCAGTGTGTTGATTGTTGAAACTGTCCTACCGATTTGATTTGAAGCTGTCTCATTGCTATTTCTCAACAGAATTATGGGAAAAAAATAAAATAAAAATTGTTTTGAAATTGATTTAATGAAACATGTAACTCAAACATTTTAATTTGGTCTGTGAGCTTTTCTAATTTGAGATCCCTGGGGTTGTCTATTGGGTACAGTATATCAGATACTATCATTGTATCAAGGCAATTTCTCATACTAACAGGCTCCAAGGATGAAGTGAGAAAAGATAACTCACAATTCAGCCACGTATACCTAAAGAAATAATACAATATGAAATAACTGGTTAAAATACTGGAAGCCAGTACTGATCTGGGTGGTTGTAGGCCAGAGGTCAGAAGTGTTATCTCAGGGATCCTGAGTAGTTGTGAAGGCCCTAGGGAATAGGCTGAAGAGGGATCACAGTTTTATTTTAGGAATTTTAGCTGGCTTAAATAGTAGGGGAGGTAGGACCCAGGTCTGACCTAGGGCCACAAGAGAGCTAATTTAGATATAGCTTGGGGTAAGGCCCTTCCTTCCCAGTGTATATATAAATGGCCACAAGAATACAGAACACAGCACTGGTGCTCATGGAGCACCATGCTTAAAGCACAAGCTATTCCCACCCACATAGCTCTCCTTGGTACAAAAACCCTGCTGCTCACCTCCCACACTTAGTCCCCACAGTTCCCAATGCCAAAACTGAAAATGCCTGCATCACTGACCCTGACACCCTGTAACCCGATTCCACAGATCTCTGCCATTCCAGAGTACCCACCATTCTCCATTGTGTCACTCTGAAGGCCCATCCTTAAGGACAGGCCCTGGATCTCTACCCACCTGCCCTGCTCTACACTCATGCTCGTCCACAAGCATCGTCCACTCTTACCTCACTTTGCTGTCACCACTACTACCCATGCTTAATTACACACCATTGGATATTTCCATCTTGTTTGTTCACCCCTATTCATCCCCCCACTTGGCCCATGGCCACCCTCCTCTTTCCCACATTCCGTAGTTTTCCCTGTAGCTCTGTGCCTTACCTCCATTTGCCAACATGTAGCTCATCTGGTTGTCATTGGTGTCCCAGGAAGATGGAATCCAAATCCACAGGAAATGATATCTGACTCCATACCCCACTACAGGATGGCCATTGATAAACCTGACACCCTAGGAAGGTTCTTTAAGAGTAGGAAGATGTAATGTCTTTGTGTGCCTTTAGGCCTTGTCCCAGAAGATTGCACCAGGAGCAAGCCAGCCAGCCTTCTTGGAAAAGTACTTTGTGGGACCTGTCTCGTTTTTTAAAAGTGAGTCCATGGATCATTTTCTTAAAAGATTCAGAGGGAAAAAAATACCTGGAAGGACACAAACAGGGTCTCAGGTGAGTGTTGATGGGTCTCCAAGATTTTATATAGCTTGGGCTTCCAACTTTTACCAGCCATGGCCCTGGTGTATAACCACATTAGCAAAAGTGCCACAAATAGTGATTTACAAGCAGGACTGCTTGTTCTAGAGCAAGTATCCTGCTATGTGGTTTTGGCCTGTGGCCAGATCATGGGGTCTCTATCTCTTACCTTGGAAACTATGTCACTAGTAGTAATATGACCCTGGAGAGTAATTAGCCTCTCTGTGCATTGTTTTATACCTCTTACAAAAGGAGTGTGTCATGTGGATGAACTTAAATCATTTTACTAAGATATAGAAAACAGCAGTGGGCCAGGGAGATGGCTCAGTGGAATAAGCATTTCCCTGGCAAGTTCAAGGGCCTGAGTTCAATCCCTGGTTTAAAAAAAAAAAGCCAGCAGTGGGTTTTAATAGGATCTCTTCATAGCTATCACTGTGCACACTAAAGAAGAAATGTACTACAGTTTCAATTATTTTACACTTAGGTAATAATTCCACTGACCTCAGAATCACTATTTGGTCCCCTGAGGAAATTAATGCCTGTGTAACTTAGGAATTTAGTGAGTATCTGTTGTTCTGTCTGCCTGGCTATTCAATTTATTCACTCATTAAAAAAAAAGGAAACCCACCAGGGCTGGGGGTGTAACTCAGTGATACAGCACTTGCCTCAATGGTGGAGCATAAGACCCTGAGTTCCATTGCTAGCACCCAAAAAACTTTATACTCTCCATTAAGCATATCTGTATTAAATGTTATAAAATCCTATCTCTAGACTGATTTCATTATAATAATAATAGACTACAATGTGCTTTAAAAAGTTTTATTTATATTTGGAAAGGCAGTACATTCACACAGAATAATTTTTCAAAAGCTATGTAGGATTCACAGATATCTCCTCAGTTCCAACCTTCCCACTGCCCCTTTCCTGAGGTAATGAGGCTTGCTAGCTTTTTATGACCTTTCAGAAAGTTTATTCATGTACAACTAATTATGTACTTACCATTTTATATATACATGGTAGCATATTATATTCACTATGTTGTACCTTGCTTTTTCTACCTTATAACTTGGGGGTTACCCCACATAACTACACAAATAATAACACAAGTTCTCTATTAATTTTTGTCTGCCTAAGAATTTTCTGTGAATATCACAAATTTAGAAAACAGAATCTTGGTGATGTCATTGTGACAACTTCCAATCTTTTATTTTTAGAAACAGTCCATCACTGGATCTCTGTGTTCATCATTTTGTACACTATAAATATATACATTCTTAAAAATAGAACTGCTGGCTTAAAAAATAGTTTGTGGTTTTGATTATGTTTGAATCATTCTCTTAGAATTGCAGAGTTGTTGCTAGACTTGCTATTTGCCAGAGGGTTGTGTCAGGGAAGATACCAGGACCACATTCCAAGAAGATTGGTTTTTCTAACTGCTGAGATCCCTGACATACACTTGTTAGTTATTTCAGACTTGACCTCTCCCAAGTCAGTAACTAGGGACAGCTGTGTCCTCTCTCGTCCCTCATCCCCAACTGTTCCTCCTGCAAATGCAATTTGTCTGAATGATTCCTTATTAAGAGGCCTGTTTCTCCTCAGACCCCAAATACTTAAGGATATGCCTCATCTGCCTATGCACCCCGTTACCGAGCTGCCCAGGGCCTTGCACTTTAAGGTATATCTTGCTCAACCTTTATCTAAGAGTCCTTACCCATCCTGCCTTGCGTCTGTGGACCTGAAATCTCTTGCACAGGCACTTCACTGCCTGTTCTGGCAGTGTTGCAGCTAATCTCCTTGCTTTGTCAGATATGGAGATTCCATTTCTTCTTTTTCTCCTATTGCTTTTGGGTGAAGACCAGGATAAAAAAGAAGAAAGGATAATTTAACTGCCTATGTTTAAATCAAAGGTTAGGACACACTTTGAAAACCTTAAATTGACACAAATTTCCCTCAGGGTACACAGCAGATGCTGCTGCTTTACTATCTAATGCCCAGTGAGCTTTCACTTCCAGGTGTGACCTCTCCCATGGGCCTTCTTTCCAGTGTGGGTCCTCTGATGAACAATAAGGTTGGACTTTTGGGTAAAGGCTTTCCCACATTCTGTACATTTATAGGGCTTCTCTCCAGTATGAGTTCTTTGATGCACAGTGAATGTTGACTTTTCCCTAAAGGCTTTGCCGCATTCTGTGCAAGCATAGGGCTTTTCTCCTGTGTGTGTTCTCTGGTGGATTATGAGCTGGGACTTCTGGCTGAAAGCTTTCCAACATACAAGACATTCATATGGTTTCTCTCCTGTGTGAATTCTTTGATGTATAATGAGCTTTGACTTTTCTCGGAAGGCTTTGCCACATTCATTACATTTATAGGGTTTTTCTTCTGTATGAGTTCTTTGATGGATAATGAGATATGACTTCTGGGAAAATGCTTTTTCACATTCACTGCACTCATATGGCTTCTCTCCTGTGTGGCCTCTCTGATGTAGCATGAGATAGGATTTCTGAGAGAAGGCCTTCTCGCATTCATTACACTCAAAGGGTTTCTCTCCTGAATGAGTTCGCTGATGTACACCCAGGTTTGACTTCTGGGTGAAAGTTTTTCCACACACATCACATTCATAGGGTTTCTCTCCTGTGTGGGTCCTCTGGTGCACAATGAGGGTGGACTTCTCATTGAAAGACTTCCCACATTCAGTACATTTATGAGGCTTCTCTCCCGTGTGTGTTCTCTGGTGTATAACGAGGGTTGATTTGTCACTGAAAGTCTTCTTGCATTCATTGCATTCATGGGGTTTCTTTCCTGTGTGAGTACTATGATGAATAATTAGATCAAGCTTCTGTATGAAGGATTCTCCACATTTAGTGCATTCATACGTTTTTTCTCCTGTGTGGGTTTTCTGATGGACAATGAGGTTTGACTTCTGAGTGAAGGCTTTTCCACATTCATTACATTCATAAGGTTTCTCTCCTGTATGAGTCCTATAATGTATGATGACTGTTGACTTTTCTCTGAAGGCTTTCCCACACTCAGGACACTCAAAAGGTCTCTCGCCCGTATGAGTTCTGAGGTGTATAATGAGCTGAGATTTTTGGCTGAAGGCTTTTCCACATTCAGTACAACCAAATGGTTTCTCTCCTGTGTGTGTTCTCCAGTGTACGGTGAGGTGTGACTTCTTGCTGAAGGTTTTCTGACATGCAGTACATTCAAAGGGCTTCTCTCCATTTTTAATTCTCTGATGAAGACTAAGACCTTTCTTTGACCTGAGGGATTTCCCACATTCTTTATATCCAAAGGGTTTCACTATGGGATTTTTTTCATATTCAGTGTGAAAGAATAATTTTGCACATCCATTATTATGTTTCTTTTCTGAAGAGCTTCTAAATAAATCAAAATTACCTATTAAATTATTTCCAAATGATTCGAGTTTATGGGGTCTTTGTATTGGAACAACAAACCTTGTACTTAGATGAAGTGTATTTCCAAATTCATTACACTCAAAACCACTCTCAGTGGCAATTATTTTGTCAGGGAATCCAGCTTGCATCAACAGATATTTATCTTGGTCATCCTGATGCTGCCTCTCAATCTGTTCATCAATTTGGCAGACTTCTAGAAAGAAATAAAATATTCAGAAATTCCCCACCATATGAAAAATAATTTCATTTTATTGGAGTCCCTGGAAATTCTCTTACACAACTTCCATCTACTGGCCTTTATTTTTTAACCAAGAACAATCTTACTCCAATGTCTGGTCTCTTAACACTACTCTTATATTATCTCTAACTTCCATCAGCTCTGGGCATGGACCTTAATACCCTCAATCCACAGTCAACATCTGAACTCTTAACTGAACCTAACTTACACTATTTCCTGCTAGCAAGACATAAAGCAGTGTGATTTCTGGACTCAAATCTTACAACATACCTAAATCTAACATTCTCACTGAATGACAGAAAAATCTAAAATAAATTAGCCTGACAACATGGGCTCACCAATGCAAGTTCACCCACGCTTAATATTCACAGTCTTCAACATTACTGTCTACACTATTCCCCTTAAAACTATACCTATTAACTCCCAATTATTTCTCATGTACCATTATGCACATGGCCCTGTCCTCCATATTTCCTATATTGATAATCTAGATAAATTTTAAGAAATAGTTCTGTCTTTAAAAAAAATAACCTAATCCTAAATAACTTAATTTTATTAGCTGTCATCTGTACTACTCATTTAGTTAAAACTGTAAAGCCTTTTATTTCATGAATTGGAAGATACACAATATTTCATATTTTAACATCTCTGAATCCAGATACACCTAACAATCAATAACATGTTACAGATTAACTGGTGATAATGTTTCTTTCTTAGTGATATGTCTTAAAATTAATGGTATCTTGAAGTCAATAAAATCTGACATTTTGGCACATATACTGAATTTTTAATCATGTTTTATAATTTACTTCTCACTTCCCCTAAAATTTTGCATGAAAATCTTCAAGTGTGGAGAAAAGTTCAAAGAAGTTTACAGTAACTATTCATATTACCATCTAGATCCCATAATGCTAACATTTTGCCATTCCATTAATGAATTTTACAATGAATCATGCAATTTTTGTTTCCTTCCCTGTGATTTCCTTTCTTAGGATAACAAAACACTAGTCCTTAGCCAAATGTGAGCACAGAATACCAGGAAGAGCCCTTACAAACTGCTCTACACAGGACTGCTGGATGAGCACCTCCTTAGGTGCATAGCAGCAATATAGCCCATATGGTTGGACTGTGGACGCTCCTGCCCAAGAGAAATTCCACTTCAGCCTTTTATTTGATCTGTGACCGTATGTAAGTGATCTTTCTGTATCATTTACTCACCCATAAAACAGAAATTATAACAGTGCTCACCTAAATGGATGCTGAGAAGCTTTGTTTACTTATGACAGAGACCTGTTGGCACATAGAAGTGCTTTAAAGTGCTTATAACAACTGCTACTGCCATCATATTGATTACTAAGATACATTTTCTTTTGGTGGTATAAAGGATTAAACTCAGGACCTTGCACTTGCCAGGCAAACACTCATTCCACTAAGCTATCTCCCCAGCCCCTAAGATACATTATTATAAAAAGAATCAAAGAGTATCTATAAATGTATAATGTTCTTGGCTATTAAGTTAAAAGGGCGAAAAATATGATTGTAAGATACTGTCTTCTAAAGATATATATATATATATATATATATATATATATATATTCCTATTAAACGCAGTAGAAAGATAAATTTTGTTAAAGACTACTTGTGACGGAAGGAAAGAAAGGCATGGGTGGAGAGGGAAAGTGGCCTCTGACTACACTATATGTACCTCATTTTCTAAATATGACTTTGGAACCAAGTAAGTATATTTTATATATCACAAAGCAAAAGTAAATGTTAAAGGATTTCCTAATATTACCAATTATTCTGTATTTCCTATATTTCTTAATGACCAGGCTGAAAGTCTTAGTTGCTTTGCCTAACTATACATATGCCACAGTTTAAGAATAACACAATACTATCATCAGATATATAATTAATCTATTAAACTTTACATCCAGCATTTGATTTGGAAATATCAATTGGAATATCTGAGTAATTTAAAAAATTTTATATATCGGTCATAATATGACCGATATATAAAATTTCATTCTATCAATGAAAAGGCTTAGCAATGATTCCTTAACATCCAAATTGTGATCTTAAAACCTTATCTTCCACTAAAAAGAACCAGGCCTTAATGATCATTGGAAAAATGGCCAGTACCAGATCAGAGGCAAGAAATACACAACATGAGCCTTGAACTTCTAAAATGAAAAAGCACGGATACTTGGGAAGCACTTGGGAACCAATGTAAAGGAGTTTCCACTGGCCAGAGATGCAATAGTTTGAGTCACAATAGAAATAAGAAAGCAATTGATTAGACATATGAATGTTTAAATCCTTAAGTCTATAAATGATACAACAAAAAAAGGATATAATTCATTGATCACATTTGGGAGCTGCTACCAAAGCAACTCTTCATTCTGGAAACTGGCAAATATGCCAACAAAACTCTCAATCATTTAGCCTGTCTTTTCATGGTAACCAAATAATAGGAGGGGAAATTCCTCTTTGTAAAAGTATTCCAGCTAATCACAAAGAATGACAAAATTTAACTATCAACATTTTGCAGCCATTAATGAATTAATGGTGCTAAGAATTAATCACCAGTGATTGACTAGTAACAAAAGCAGAGACAACTGTGTATTACCTGCCATCGGTGGAAGAAAGTAAAAAGTAAAAAACCTCAGAAATGGATCCCACTTCTAAATCTAACTATTTACAAAAAAAAAAGAAAAAAAAAGAAAAGAAAGAAAGAAAAAGAAAAAAACCCACAACAGAGGACCATGTTATGTACTACTATGGAGTTAAAGACCATTCCCCCTAACAGGAGCCAGAGGTCCTTGTAGAAATTGTTGATTCCTGTCTGAAACAACGTGAGTACCAAGTGAACGTGGAATATGCTTCTGCTGGAAAAAGAGAAAGTGCTCAAAGAATGACAGGACCATACCAAAAGGACAGAGAGCCAGACTGAAGAAACTTTTACTAGCCACACTGAAGATAATTTCAACCTGAATATGAATAATGACAGTAATGGACGATAGCACATTAAAAAGAAAAATCGACCATCTTAGTACAACTGATTCAGTGAACGTTAACACCACTGCGTGAAAGTTCTTAAGGAACTGGATACTCAAAGTTCAGGAATTCCTCAAAATGTTAAACACAATTACCATGTAGTATAATAATTCCAATACTGTAAATCTGCACAAAATTAGAGCCTACATCACTGCAAAAACTTGTACATGAATGTTTATACCCATATTAGTCATAACAGCCAAGACAGTAGAAACCACCAAATGCCCATCAGGAGATAGATGGACAAACAAATGTTCTCTATCTATGTAATGGAATATTCCTCCACAAAAGGGAATAAAGTGTTGATCCATGCTACAACATGGATGAACCTTGAAAACATGCCAAGGAAAACAAAATGGCCACATTTTGTATGAGTCTATTTGTATGAAATGTCAAGAAAATCAGGCTTACCAGGGAATAGGAGAAAGAGAGAATGGGAAAAAGACTAATAAAAGTAGAAGCTTCTTTTTGGGGGCTGATGAAAATGTTTTAGAGTTAGATAATGGTGAATCACACAACTACAGATACACTCCAAACTACTAAATTTTATAGTGTAAGTGGCTGAATTATATGACAGTGAATTATACCTCAAAGATAATTTAAAAAGTAGATAATTAAGGAGCTGGGGATATTGCTCAGTGCTAGAATATTTGTGTAGCATGTGTAAAACTTTGGGTTCAACCCAAGCACCACCACCACAAAAAAGTGTGGTGTTTTACTCCTGCAATCTCAGCACTGACAGGCTGAGACAGAAGTAACACAAGTTTGAGCCCAGATGGGTACTTAACTTAGCAACTTAGCAAGACCATTTCAAAATAAAAGTTTAAAAAGAGCTGGTGATATAGCGCAATGCAAAGGCCCTGGATTCAATCCCCATACCACAAAAAAGTAGGTGATTAAGATGTCTTAGGATACCAAGTCCTGACAGGAATAGCTAAGCTGAAAGAATAGACTCAGACAAGCTCATCTGGAACTCAAGCATTAGATACAGGCCTGAGACAAATGTGGGCTTAGCTTTAGCTAAGTCCATGACAGATGAGAACAGTAGAAGCAATGGGGCTAAGGCATGGTAGCATGGAAAAAACACTTGATATGTGAGGAAAGGAGCTGTGCAGAAACTTGCATAGGAATAGCAACATAAGGAGAGTGATAAGACCCGGGGATCCAGGGAAGGTGTATCAGTCTTATGTATGAAATGTTCATGTCCGTGTCCTCCAACAGAAGGCCACAACCTTTCCCTAGACATTCCTGAAAGC